ATATATATATATATAAACATAAGAAATATGTAGTAGCTTTACAAAATAAAAATCACAAAATGAAACGTATTAAATAAATCAATCAATCTTGAAATAAATAAAAAATCAATCTTGGAAAAAACTAACCATTTCTAAATGTTTTATTTCATGGGAACATTCATTTATTTAATGGAATATTGAATAATAATTTTTAAATAACGCTATTTATTTATTTAATTTTGAATGAAATGGCTCTCCATGATCCTCTGCGTCAAGATATTTTGCTAACTTGATGGATAAATGAACAACCCTGCCAGTTATGATGAATAGATAATAGAGAACAAAACTCACGAAGCGTTTGGCTTTATGCCTGAATTAATTTGTTTTGATAGGCTACCATCTAAACCAGCAATTTTATCTTTAGTTTAATGCATCTGTGTTCATAAAATACAACAGTGTTAGCGTTTTTTTGATTTAGAAAAGGCCTTCGACACTACTGCACCATTGAAAAACTGAGTAAATATGGCATTAGAGGATTAGTACTACAGTGAGTATCTAGTTATTTGAATAATAGGAGACAGTATTTGTACAGGTAAACAACGTAAGAGCTGAATTTTGTGTTATTGGATGTGGAGTCCCTCAAGGTTCTGTGTTGGGACCAAAGTTGTTTATTTTATATGTGAATGATCTGGTCGATGTGTCGGGGCTTTTGAAGTGTGTTCTATTTTTTTGTTCGGGTGAAGATATTGAACAGATGTTACAAATGAGGCAGAATTCGTAAAAATACAAACTTGGTTTAACTTAATAAGTTATCATTAAACTTGGAAAAAACAAACTACATGATATTTAGTAATAGAAAGAAAATTATCGAAGCTCCATTTAAAATCGACTTGAAATTCAAAATGTTGGGGTGTCGTTATTGATGAGAAGCTGACATGGAAATCTCATGTAAATTAATTACGAATAAAAAATAGCTAAATCAATTGCATTACTGTATAAAGTAAAAAAAGTTTTTGAATGACAAAACTTTGTATATATTGTATAATGTAATGATTGTTCCATATTTAATCTATTGTGTTGAAGTTTGGGGGAAAGCATGCAAAACAATTACAAATCCTATTTTTATAAAAAAAAAAAAAAAGAGCCATAAGAATTATTAGTAGGAAGTAGTATTATTTCATCAACTGAAATTATTAAAAAAATTATGATTTGATTGAAGATAGTACTTTACAAGTCATGTACAAAGCTCATAAAAAATATCACCCCAAATATTCAATTAAATTTGTGCAAAAAGAGTCGATATAACCTTAAAGGAATGTAAAAGTTTGTAAAACCTCCATTTAGAACTGGTCTGAAGGAGCTGCGTTGTATTTCAGGGAACAGGATTGTGGAATTACCTCAATATCAACATTTCTAAAACAATTTATATGTTTAAAAAGATGATTAAATTAAAGTTGTTGGGAAGGTACAGTACCAGGTGAAGGATACCTAAAGTTTTTTTATTTCACTTTGGAGACTGTTCAAGTGAACGTTGTTGTTTATTTGTAGTTATTTTGTATTTTTTAGATATGATAAGAATCTTTCTGCATCCTTTTCATTCAGTTTCTTTTTTGATGAATTTGTTTTATTTTAAATGAATGAAAAAAAGTTCAAATAACTTTATACAATAATGTTCATTCACACAAATAAGTGTACTATTAATAATTTATCTGCACTGAAGCATTATATTAACGGACATTTCTTCTGAATTAGGTCAGAATAAATTTGAAAAACGTCAGAGACAAATGAGAAGGCTGAGAGGAACGAGGGGCAGCGATTGATTGGCTGGATGGAAACACACCATCCACCCCCACACACCTCCATATAAACACCTGGAGAGGCGCACACCTGCTTTTTTTTTGTTTTTATCGAGTCACACGCCCCAATGAGCCCCAGCCTCGTAATTTTAAACATTTTAAGCAGCTTCTGCGAAATGAGTTCCTTTTTGCATTTTTCGGCCTGAAACTTGAAATTTATTGCGACCAGCGGAGAAAAAAAAATAAAATGGAAGACTGGAAGACGCAGGTGGCATACTTCAATTCTTACCATGCGTACGGCTTCCTGTACCAGTCCGAACCGAGAGCCGAGAACCAGACCGGATCCAGCGAAAACCGGCTCACGGACTCGAGCAGCTACACTGACGGGCCGACGCAGATCTTGTACTCCGCTGCTACATCTGGGAGGATCGGGGAGTCTCAACACCACCGTGAGTCTGGGCTTGTTTATGTTGGTGGGACCCCGACGGACCACCTGCTGCCCGGACCCTATGAGGGTGATGGGACCGACCTGAGGCGGGTCAGGAGCGGCGACACCGAGGCGCGCACTACACCTGGTATGTAGCTAGCTAAGCTAACACAACGAACAAAACATGTCGGTTTAATTAAACTGTACAGTGTTGTGTCAATTCTTACATTTTCCTGGAGCATGTCGGAAGTTAGTTCTTCGAGTTTCTTCTGCATAGAAATGATTCCAGAAAGTCTTGTTCTGAACGGCATCTGGTCCGTTTTGGATGAAGGACAGAAAATATGGCGCCAGAACAGAAGGCGCTTCACAAACAAAATGGCGACATCTAGCGGTAGAATCTGTTATTTTCGGCTTTGTTTTACGTAATTTTTTTTTTTTGTGTGTAAAATAAATTTGGAATTAATGCCGTAACATCTTGAAAGCGAAGGTTTAAAAGTTAATTTGTTGGTAAAAAAAAAAAAAAAAAAGTACATTTGTTAGAAAAATATCTACTTCCGGTCCATCGTAGGTTTAGGGCGATTTTCCATTATGGAAAATTTGGGTTTCTAAATCTCATACAGATGTTTTTTTTTGTACTCTATATCGGATTTGTTTTCTTTTATTTTTATGATGAATTAAAATTTCAAATTGCGTTTATTATAAATTTTTGAAATGAATGAACAAGAAATCGGTACTTCCGGCCCATCTTGGATATTTGTCAAATATGGCGCCGCATGTGCAGCGACATCTAGCGGTAGAGTTTAAGAATTGCGTTAGAAAAAAATGGCACGCTCAAAATTACATGCATTAGTAATCCTAGTAAAAAGTTATTTAATATTTATTTATATACATAAAAACTTGTGTTTTAGGAAATGATAAACATTTGTAATTCAAATATAAACTGATTATTTGATCAGATGGAAAGAAATTGGGCAAAGTCGTTTTTTATTTGTAAATATTTTAATTTTATTTACGATTTGACACAATTTTTTTTTTTTTATTACATCAAAATCAATTCAAAAATGTAATTTCTGAATTAAATTTGGGTATAAATCTTACCATTTCTACGTGTCTTTGTTCAGATTCCTGGGGTTCTGTGAGCAGTCGTGAGGGAAGTCTTCTCCAGACGGACCTGTCAATCTGGCCTAAGAAAGATGACCTGGAGGGGATTGCCAGAAGCCCAGAGGACAACAGGGACGTTTCCAGCTCTGTTGTCGAGGACCCCCAGGCTCTCGTCAGCTCCCCTACCTCTCCAAACGTGCCCCTGTCTATCTCTAAAACATCCCTTCGAACAACCTTCTCTCCGAGCCAGTTGGAGGCTCTTTCTAGGAGCTTCAGTGCCCAAAAGTACCTCAACCCAGCTGAGATGAAGGACTTGGCAAACCAGACTGGACTGACCTATAAACAGGTGCTTATTTAAATGACTGCTCAACGTGAAAATGAATCGGAACCACTCACATCTTGTTCTCTGTAGGTGAAAACCTGGTTTCAGAACCGTAGGATGAAGCTCAGGAAATGTCAGAGAGATATCAGCTGGGCGTCGGACCATTACGCCTCCCATTGTTACGCCGCCCCTGTAAGGAGCTCATCGCACGTCCTTTAACACGCTCACAACACAAAGTGCTAACCGACCGTTTTCACCAAAATGTTTGCCATTTGTTTGTTTCAGTATCCCGTTGACGGGCGACCCCAGCTCTGGGAGCGTTACAACCAGCACGCTGTGGAGGCGGCGTATAAGAAGACCCCTCATGACCTGGCCTACTACCTGGGTACCAGTTCTGCTGGTTTCCCACACTGGTCCTCTAATTCACCCCAGACTACCAGGTGGCCCATGACGCCAGGTGGAAACCCCTACATCCCCAGCATGTTCAACTCCAGTAACTTTGTGCACGGTTCAAGCTCTGAATCAGAGGACGGGAACCCGGCGGTCGGCCAGGACTCGGTGAACGCGGCCGTGGTGCCATACGTCAACCAGTAGCAGAACAGATCTACGATCGTTTTCAGTAAACGTTGCAGAATCGCTTTTATTAAAGTTTGAGAGTTTTTATTTTTTGTTTTGTTGGGCGTGGTTCACATCCCGCCCGCTTTAAAAATGTTTTTTTTTATCTTGTGCAGTCGTTCGTTCTTTGTGCTTTGACATGACGGACATGTTCAGCTAAGATGCACATTGTAGTGGAAAGTGTTTTATTTTTTTTACAAATGTGTAACAAGTGTTTATTTTTATTTTACAAATACAAGTGCGTTTTAGAACGTCTTACTGCCTTTGTTTTCTTTTGCCCGTTATATTTTAGAATAAAACGTCCGTGTGGCCGAAGCTTTTAAAATGTAGGAATGTGACCTCTGAAGGTCCCACTTCAGTCAGTCCTGGTCCTGGTCTCAACTGGACCATTGCAGCACCGTGGTTCTTTTCTTTTTGACCCGTTCTGTTGTAGAGTAGCTGCCGTTTGGTCCACAGAGGACATCGTCCACTCAATGACCTTCAGCACCAGTCGAGGTGCTGCAGTGCATTATGGGTAAACATCTACCTTGCTTTGGTTTGGTCCCAGAAGTTGTAGTTCCTCCAGAAACTTTGTGGAGTGAATCTGCTGTGAAGGTTTAACATTTTGTAGATTAACTTCAAATGACCTTTGACCCCTCTTCCAGGGTCATTGTGTGAATGTTTAAGCAGCATACACACTGATCCTTGTTTTCCTTGTACATTTTTCAGCATCTCAGCTCATAATTTTTGTGCCATTTCATCAAATCATAAATCAAAACGTTCGGCTCTTTCAGGACAATCCTGCTGTGACTTTTGGTGTTGGTGCAGCTTTAGCTTTTTGAAATATTTAGCCTTTTCTGCCATTTTTGTCTCAGAAAATGAATTGAGCTCATTTTACATCCTTCAGATCTTTAGAAGTGTTTACAACCTTTTACTGCTCCTTTCACATTTCATTCTGCTTCAGCATCTTTCAGCTTGTGTGAATTTAAACTTTTTTTCAGCAGTTTTTTTTGCTCCTTTCTGATTCTACTACATTTTTGAGATACTAACTTCTTTCTGCTAATTTCAGCTTGTTACTCTTTTTTTTTTTTTTTTTTTTTAATTTTCAGCTACTATTTAGCTGTTTTATGCTAATTTGAGCTTTTTCAGCCAGTTCCGTTTTGCACTCGTTTCAACTTTTTTCAAACTAATCCAGCAAAAACGTGCTCTCTCCATTTCTATTTTAGCTGCTTTTCAGTAGTTTTTTAATTTCAGCTTTTTTTCTGCTTCTTTCAGCCTAATTGGACAAACATGTTCTTTCCGCTTTCTTCTGCCAATTTAAGCTTGGTCTAACTTTTCAGCTACCTTTTTTTTCAGCTAATATTTATAGATTTTCGTGGTAATTTCTGCTACTTTGTTAAAAAAAATTCTGCTAATTCCAGTTTATGCTTTTATCTGCAAATCAGCCACTATTTAGCCGTTTTTATGCTAATTTCATCTCTGCTTCCTCTTGCTAGTTTAAGCTATTTGAGTGCAAATCTCAGCTTTATTAGATTATTTCCTAATCTTTGAGCTAATTTTTGCTTATTTAAACACAATTCAGCAAATGTGTGTTCTGCTAATTCCAGCAACATGCATTCACGCTGCATTTTCGCAGGTTGTTGTTCTTTCTACCGTGTTGCTGTTGGTCAGATCAACTGGAACCATTTCCGAGTGGTTAGTCGGCGTCTTTATATTAAAAAGCACTTTTATTGAAAAACAGACTACTTACACCAGAATCAAAGCTGATGGTAGAACGCAGTTACAATATTGCTCCCATTACCGGCATTTTACAAAAACTCTTCAACTACAAGGCATCTTCCACTGGGGGGGGCACGGAGGCTTCACACTCTGTGCAAAACAACTTTTTACTTGATAAAAGTAACGTGAACAGGCCGTTACGTATGACGTACGTCACACTTAAATCTATGTCGGCCTTGAATACGTACCTGCACAGATGACTTCATTAAAAGGTACTCGCTGCAAAATAAATGAAGTTTATTGTTGTTTACATTTCTGCAGTTCTGAAATGAGGGTCTGCACTCGGTGTAAACAAAGGCCTTCTACCTGCACAAATCTGAGCGTACCAAAAAATATTCCAAACGGGCGTCGTCGTAATTGACCTATTTTATAATATTTCTGTAGGCAAATCAAATATTACTAACAAATAATTAATTATTGGTTATATTAATCATCAATATAAGAAACAAAATGTGCAGATTTTGTCTCCTTTAAGTACCTTTAACTCTTGAAGTGTGACACGTCCCCAAATCGCTGTCACCAAAATATCCAGTTTTCCCTAAACGCACATTAAAGCCCCGACGTGCCCTTCATTTGTCCGTGCAGCGTCGTTTAGTATCGACGCTCCGTGATGAGTTCAAGGCCTGTTGGACAACGGACACCGTCCGTGTTTTAATCCATCTTCAAGCTACGGTAGATGTAGCGAATGAACGCCAGCGAGGCCCAGAACGACACGCTGCCCAGCATCAGCGAGAAGACGAGCGCCGTGAGCAGGGAGTACCCGAAGAACTCGGTGCTCTGCACCGGGCCGCTCATGGACGACCGGTTCCGGTAGTAGAACACGGAGTAGACGAAGATGAAGAGGCCGGTGGAGCCGGTGCTCAGCACGCTGCGCCACCACCACCGGTAGTCCTCGCCTGACAGGAGGAAGTAGGTCAGCGCCACGGAGATGCAGGCGCCCACCGAGAGGAGGATGGCGTAGACGCACAGCAGGATGCCGTAGAGGGTGTAGTGCTCCCGGCCCCAGACGGTGGCGAAGATGTAGTACAGCTCCACGGAGATGGCACTGAGGAAGAGAGGCAGCGCATGAGAACTCGTCAGTTTACCTCCCATAATTTGTAACTTCACTCTGTGATTGATTTAATGTGATTGTAAGTTTAATTTAGCATATTTTGTTGCTATTACGTGTCCAACAGTCACGGTCCAATCAGATTCCACCTTTAGATATGTAAAAAAATATATTTAACGTAAACAATTACGCAGTAATAAACTAAACACCAATCATAAGAGACGCCACGTTTTGTAAAATGTAAATAAAATGCAAATCTCACAAACCCATATCGTATTCACATCAGAGTAGGCTCGTCACGATAACAAATTGTACTGGGCGATTAATTGTCTCAGAATTTATTGCGATAAACGATAATATTGTTTGAAATTTTACAATATTTTATTGTAAAATTTAAGAAGAAATGTTGGTTAAATTGTTTTGAGTGTAGTACCTTTTTTTGACCACTGGGTGGCATAATAAGATTTTAAATGGACGGATGGATAGTGAGGGAGCAAGCAGTGTCTCTCTAAGAAAAATGGGAGGGAGGCCTCTTGACGTGACATGGGCTGTCTCTCCTTCCTTTTTCCAGTTCTCAAAATGACGGACACTCTGTGTGGTTCGAGCTCTTTAGCATAGCCCAACAATCCAACAAAGCGTGGACTTTTTTGGTCTTTAGCATTTTTCACATAAAGCTTTTAATAAAAAATTTAAAAAATCAGTAAACAAGTTCTCGGCTTCTTTTTGCAGAGAAAAACAACATTTTAGACGAAGGCACGAGTTTCATCCGTGTAGTTTGGAGCTTCGACAAGATGGAGGTTTTTCTTCCCCGAGGTCAGCCTGTTAGCTTAGCTCGTAGCTTAGCTGCTTTGAACGATCCGAAAAACACGATTTTGGATGAGAAAAGAAAAAGGGAGGGGTCAGTGAAGAACACCGGAGTTGAGCCTTTTGTCGTCCAGTGTCTTCAGAAAAAGAGAGACACGAAGAAACGATAAATGAAAATGAGGTCGATAATTTTAGTTTATCATGCGATTAATTGATTTATTGTTTATCGCGACAGGCCTACATCGGAGCGTAGTGATGATATCAAATGATGAGTCCAAATACAGAGAGGAGGTGGAACATCTGGTGCAGTGGTGCAGAGACGATAATCTCTGCATCAATGTGAAGAAGACCACGGAGATGGTGGTGGATTTCAGAAACGACAAGGATCCTCTTCATCCCCTACACATCGGAGGAGCAGCTGTGGAGTTGGTCTCCTGCTACAGGCACCTGGGGGTGCATATCCAGTGACCTCAACTGGAGAGCCAACACTCAAGAAGGTCCCCCAGCGTCTCTACTTCCTATGTGTGGTGGAGAGCGTTCTCTGCAGCTGCATCACCGTGTGACTCGGCAGCTGCTGAGAGGAAGACTCTGCAGAGGCTGGTGAAGACTGTGGGGAGCAGCCTTCAGCACCACCACACTTCACAATGCAGGGGGAGGGCGCTCCGCATCACGAAGGACTCCACTCATCCTGCGCACCATCTGTTCCAGCCTCTCCCCTCAAGCAGGCGGCTGAGGAGCCCAAATGTATTTATTTATTTGTTAATTGTTCGGCATCTTGATCCGGGACCTGAGTCCGAATTTTGTACCACAAACATGCAAATGTGAGCTGGTGTGACAATAAAAAAAATCCTCGACTCCTTGATTAATTAAGAAAATGTGCCGTTTCTTATATACATTTAGAATTTCAGTGCACAGTTTAAAAATCTTGCCTCTATGATGGTATGGGGGTGCATTAGTACTTCACATTTGCTGCTTACAAACCTGAAAAGTATCCGTCAACATCTGCCGCCATTCATCTTTTTTTATTATTAATAACTCAGCAAAGAGCCCCAGGACTCGAACTCTCTTGTTATTTACATTTTACACAGCATCGCAACATTTGGCGGTTTGATTCCTGACCGAAGCACCTGGCAGCTTCTCACCTGAAAGGCAGGAAGCCCCCGATGGCCATGTGCACCACCGTGTGTTTGTACCAGGGCTGCGTCGGGATCTGCCGGGGGATGTTACGGGTGCGGCACGGCGCCTGGAAGCTGCCGGCTCGGTTCTTTCCCACGATGCCGCCGATGACGGTGAGGGGGAAGCCCACCAGCACCCAGGCGCCCAGGAGGAGGAGCACGGTGGTGGCCGGCAGGGCCTGGGTGGAGCCGCTCCACCAGTGAACAGAGTTCACCACGCTCCACGTGATGAAGAGCGGCGCTGCGGGAGGAGGGACAAAGAAACGCAGCCGTTGGTAACATTTCACGTGACGAGTGTTGCCAACAATTAATTCGTCCTTGTTTGTTTGTTTTTAATGAACAGTAATATTTAATTACAGCATAAATCCTTCACTTTAATTTAAACCGTTTTATTACCTCAAGCAAAATGTGGAAACTGTTAATCCACTAAAGGTTGATTCGTTTTCCAGTTTAATTTGTCTTAATTAACAAACCACCCCCATTTCTGTTTGTTTGTTCAAAATGTGATGGGTTCTCCAGAAATAAAAAAGATAAATAAAACTGGTGAGTGGATTAAACCCAACCAGCCTTGAAAAGAAAATAATTAACTGGATTGATTATTACTGGGGGGGACAGAGCAGTGACTTTACAGAAAACAGCTGAAGACGCCAAAACTTAGAGGTTACAGGTAAACCAAGCAGAACAGAAGCTAAAATGAGTCAAACACGAGCTAAAAACAGTCAAACAGTCACTAAAATTAGCTAAGCGGATTCTAAAATCAGCTAAACGGATGCTAATTTTAGCAAAACTTTAGCTAAAAGTGGCTAAACAGTGGCTAAATGCTAACAGGATATGAATGATTACCAAAAGTACCTACAATTAAAAGCTATAAGAAGCAAAATGGCAACAAAGTATTAAAACAGTAGCTAAAGCAGCAGAATGGTAGCTAAAAGCAGCAAACACAAGCCGAAAAAAGCAATACAGTGGCTAAAATGAGCAAAACAATGCCTCAAAGTTAGCAAATCTGTTTATTACTATAGCAAAATGGTAGCTACAAGTGCCAGAATGGTAGCTAAAAGCAACTTAAAAGTAGCTGAATGGTAGCTAAATGTTGAAAAACATGGTAAAAATGGAAGAACAGTCTCTAAACGTGGCTAAAAGCTATAAGAAGCAGAATAGTAACTAAAAGCAGCAAAACGATAACCAAAAACAAAAGAACAGTAGCTCAAAGTAGCATAAAAACCAAAAAATAGAAGAAGTTGGCTGAAGTTGATTTCAACCAGAACATTTGTGAAGAGATTTCAATGTAGTGATTTTATTTTAGATGAAATTAAACTTATCACAGCTCTCAATAAAAGCCTGCTCAGATTTATGGATTCAAAAATAAATGTGAAAAAAAAAAAGAAAAAAAGTAGAAATGTCTCAAAACGCCAAATACCCTCAGCAAGATCATGGCTGCTCACCTGAGAAGAGAGAAGAGGTGAGGATGATGTTCCACACCCAGCGATGGCCGTTGATCTGCGTGTAGAAGCTGCAGGACACGTAGCCCGACACGCAGCTGGTCAGGGCGTACAGGACGATGGCTGCCGAGTTGATGGCGCCGTGGCGGTGCACGTTAAACATTCCCAGCAGCGCCATGATGATGATGGCTGAGGCACAAAGCAGACATCGAACCCATCACACTCAGAACGCACCTGCTGCTCGACACAAAGGCCGCCGCAGGTGAACCTTTTCTTTCAAGCCGAGTAACGGCAGCAGCTGGAGACGTCTCACCCGTGGCGAGCGTAAGGAACTGAGCTCCGACTCCCAGCACGGCACACAGCAGGCTTTTAAAGGGAGGAAATCTGAACACATCGGTGTGGATGATTTTCCAGCCGTTATCTCCCTGATCCAGGTCGTCACAGCCGCCCTCCTCCTCCACGTTATACCTGCAAGACAACAAAAAGGGATTAAAAAAACAGAGACTACCTACTTCCAGGCACAGGAGTCCCTTTAATTTCACAAACAGGCTTCCACCTTAAAGAAGAAGTGGAAACCACGAGTCCGTTTCAACTCTGCCGACTAACCTGGCGAAGTCGTTCTTCAGCACCCGCATGAGGATGATGATGACGAAGCCGAGCAGCAGCACCACCAGCACCAGCGAGTTGATGATGGACAACCAGTGGATCTCCAGCGTTTTGGGGAAGAAGGAGTAGTCCCGGAGGCGCTCGCCTCTCCGGCCGTAAGGCAGGCTGGACTTGTACCAGCGCACGCTGTAGGTGTGCGTGACCGTCAGGCTGCCCCCGCCCACTCCCACTCCGCCCACTGCCGTGCCCGCCCCCTCCTCCAGGGGAAAAGGCTTGACGTCTTTCACGGAGACGTTGGCGAAGATCACAGAGTCACCGTTGTACTCGATGTTGAAGTCCAGGTGAGTCCACAAACCCACCTGACGGAGGAGCCTCGAGGTCAGGAGGGTGAAGAGCGGAGAAGCGGCAAACGTGGTTTTCAGCTCTTACCTTGTGGCTGTGAGGCAGGAAGCCGCTCTCCTCGATGTAGCCGACAAACCCCCAGATGGGAATGTCGTCCAGGACAAACTCAAAGTAGTACAGCTCCTCGATGGCTTCACGGAGCTCGTCCACCTGAAGCAAAAACACAAACGTGCTGAAAAACTTCAGACTTATTACAGCTTTTAGTTTATCTGTTTATACGGCTGTTAGTAAAATACTTCATAAACCACTAAACAGTAGACTTGTGCGTCATAAAGCTTTTAGCTCACCTTTGAGCTTTTAACTAGCCTTTTGCTAATTTGAGCTTTTAGTTAGGGATTAGCCCCTTTGAGCCTTTAGCTACTTGTAGCTTTTGAATAACCTTTTGAGAGTTATTTACCAAATATTTTCCTACTTTGGACTCATAGCTAGCTTATTTTGCTTATTTTAATGTTTAGCTAGTCTTCTGCTTGTTTTAGCTTTTAGCTAAAACTTTTATTTAAGCTTCTAACAAGTTACGTTTAGCTTTTTACTAGCATTTTATTACTTTTAGCCCATGTTTTGTGCCATTTGGCTTTTAGCCAGCGTTCACTTTTCCAGCTTTAACCACTCAAGTCTTAAGTTTTTTCAGCAAATTTCTGAGAAGTCATTCAGCGTTTACACTGAATTTTTGCTATAATTATTCTTTACTCTCACTTTTTATGATGCTTAATTTTTTTTACTTAATATGCAAAAACACATTAAGCTAGTAATTGCTTTTTTGGGGGGCCCAGAAGTCCACTCAGAGTCAGAACCTGCATGTGGGTCCCAGAACCCACCTGTTTTTCTGACAGCGTGAGCTGGCAGAGCGTTTTCCTCTCCACGTTCTCCTTGAAGCGGAGCTGATATAAAGACTCTGCCATCCTGTCGCCATCCAGCACTTCTCCCAGACTCAGGGACTTGTGGTGCACCTGATGGAAAAACACTCGTAAACGATTTACAGTCGTCTCCAGATGAAAGAAAAGCCTTTATCAGAACAATAAAATCTTTGTGTTGCAACACACCCGTCATCCAGCGACACAGATCAAACACTGACCTTCTCCGGTCTGCAAACGGGCAAGGTGTAGTAGTGATACGTCTCCTGGGGGTTGTGATAAGGACCCACTTTGTTGACATAAAGAGTCACATTGTCCCCCTGCTTGTAGCCCGCTGCCCAGCCTGAGAACAAGCCCAGGATCAAGACCCAGAGCAGAGCCATGGTCCCCTGGAAGCCACCTGGGAGGGGTCCGGTTCCACGGTGTGAAACCCCTGCAAGAGAGATGGACGCAGGGCGTGAAGGATTATGTTTTTGCTCGTGTATTCAGAGCCCACAGCTACAACTCATTCATTCTTGAAGTCTTCTTGATTCAAAATGGCTGCCACAGCCAAGTTATCTACGACTGGAACTTTGTCAGTTTTACAGATAATGAGCTAAAACTTTGTGTGGTAGTAGCTGAAAGAACATACTTTCAGCACATCTCCTTTATATTATATGCATGCTTTTTTTTCCACAGAAAAACATATGTTCAAACTGCCTCAGTGGTGGTGAAAACGTAATCTGACACAATCAATGGGTTACAACTCTTCTATTTATTAAATGGATAATTCAAGGACGTTATTTATGCCAGAAATATCAAGTTAGTTTCATTTTTGTTTAAGCAAAACATGCGACCTTGGTGCCAAGCTCTTAAAATTGAAACCGTGTCGACCTACTTGGTAGACGTTAACACAATGTGTCACTGAAAGAACGCCATCAACGGTGACGCTACAGCAGAAATCACTCTTTTGCGCAACAAATAAATTTGAAACCTGACCAACTCGTTTTGGTCTACAAAGAAATGCACAAATAGGCGAGTTTAAAGAAAACGGTGAAGCCTACCCGTGTAGTTTTCCCAGATACACTGATGCACATTACTAAAACGCGGGTACGCAATCAACGTAAACAAGGCTGAATATGACAATGTGAAAGCTTATGCTACACTTTGCTTAACAAATCAGCACAACTCCATACCAATACATTAAAAAATGATCAGTCTTCTCTACCAAACAGCTTTTCCATGGACACCGCCGCATTGTTGACCTATCATTAGTCACTTCAGCTGTTTCCCCAGGTAAACACACGCAGCGGCCATTCACAAGTTTTAAATTTAAGTACTGGTTCACGTGAGAAAGAAACATTTGTAGATCTTAGTTTTTTCCTTATTAGCTTGTCTTTGAAACGTCTTGCTAATAATTGGGGGAGTGGTGGCGCAGAGGTTAGAAGATGGGCCTGTGATCAGAAAGTCGCAGGTTCAACTCCCAGTATGTGGGTGGAAAAGGTGAAACACCTCCCACTACACTCTGGGCCCCTGAGCAAGGCCCCCACCATCTGCTCCCTAAACAGGTCTCTCTTGAAAATGAGGCTCAATGAGACTTCCTGTATAAATAAAAAGGTAAATTAAAATAATAATGAGTCATTTTTTTAAAGTTTCAACTAAATGTAAACTTTATATGTCACTATTTTATCCTATCTACTATATAAACATACTTTTTTTTTTCTTTAGATTCTTATAAGATCTTTAGGGAGAGTTTAGTATTTAGCCTTAGAACAGTGTAAACAATGGAACTATTTTTAGAATTTGAGTTGTATATTTACTGGATGTCCTTCTAAGAAAAAGACAGACACCGACTATTTACAGTGTCAGCTTCGTTTCTGTTTAAAATAAATAGGTTACAGCAAGATAAGCTTCATTATATTAAATATTACTAGTCACAAAGTCTGATTTACCAGTCTCTCTGTCGTGTCGCTTCTTCAGGACCGACTAAACCCGACCGGATTCCTCGGACTCGGGCCCCGACACACGGTCCCCTCCCTCCGGTTAAGGCTCACTGGAGAACCGCGGACATCCTGGAGGCAGAGTATAAATGATCCACCGGGTTCATAACCGGGTACACTCAGTACTTTGACTGCCACACGGCGCGGGAGAAGCAGGGCTCCGACTACACGTCACCTTAAAAATAAAAATAACGACGAGTTTTCCGGGGTGGGCGGAGATACAAATAAAAAAAGAGAGAGAACAACACACCTATAACATTACAGGAAGCTTTCCACCGGTAACGTGTTTCACATAAATGTTAGCCACGTCACTTAAAAGCACCGAAAACGACAATTTAGTACGTTTTGAGCTCGTAGCACAGCGACTGCTGGCATTCTGTATAAACCGGATTTCCTCCGGGCTCGACGAACCAATCAAATGTCTTCGCGCACTTCCGCGTTCCAAGTCAGACCAATGTAACAGCACCGAAGACATCGATGGGCGGGTGAACAGTGGAATGTAGGGGATCGATGTGCTCGATCGTTGATATGTAATGTCTACTTGTTGGTTTCCCGCGGTCCGCGCACTCAGATTCTCGCGGTCGAAACGTTACAACGAGCAATTGTAAAACATTGGTCCATTTTTGCTAACTGTAAGTACTTTTAAATGATTTAAAACGCTTCGATCTGAGCCTGAATGTCACGTTAGCACTGCCGGTAGCTGCTGTTTGCTAGTTGTGATGCTAATAGAAGCGTTGTTGGTGTTTTAACGTTAGCAAAATTAGCTATGGCATGTCACGTGCCTTGCTGTATGAAAACAAAGCTGCCACTTGTATAGAATAAAGCTTTAATAAACTGCATTAACGATGATTTATTGTCAGATTTCTGTCACGATGGGAATACACGGACTGGCCAAGCTGATTGCTGATCACGCACCTGGAGCCATCAAAGAACAAGATATAAAGAACTACTTTGGTAATTGTCTTGCTCTGGATTAAGACTACAAACCCAGTAAAACACTCGTTTTAGCTCCCTGAGTGTCCTCGAGTTGTCTAATTGATTTCAAACTTTTAGAAGCACGATATGTTTACAGGTGGATGCAGTTTTAGTCCTGTTCTGTAATCCTGCAGGCGTTTGCTGTTTCCTCCTTTCTGGTTGCTTTTCAGCAGGGAATGTGTGATGATCTTAATTTGTTTGCAAAATTGTTGTTTTACAGGCAGGAAAATTGCCATAGACGCCTCCATGTGCATCTACCAGTTCCTGATTGCTGTGCGACAGGATGGTAATGTTCTGCAGAATGAGGACGGAGAGACTACTAGGTACAATAAGCATTATTTGTTGTCATATTCTTGAAGCGGTTGTTCAGATAATAGGTATTTGGTCATTTTTCGTAGCCACCTGATGGGAATGTTCTACCGTACGATACGTATGTTGGAGAACGGCATCAAGCCCGTGTATGTTTTTGATGGAAAGCCGCCGCAGCTCAAGTCTGCTGAGGTTAGAACGATCCTGGGATTTGTTTCTTATAAACCACATTCCACCTGCGCCTCTGTGACTTGTTAATTTGTGTTTTCACCTTTTAGCTTGAGAAGAGAGGAGAGAGGAGAGCCGAAGCGGAGAAGTTGCTTGCTCAAGCCCAGGAATTGGGTAATGTGAACCACTGTTTCCTCACAGCAAGAAGATCCTGGGTTCGATCCCCAGTTTGGGGTCGTTCTGAGCGGGGTTTGCTTGTGTGTTCCCTTCGGGTACTCCAACACAAAAACGTGCATGTGTGCTGCCTTCAGGCCCAGACTGCTCTTGTAAAAGAGATGAATGATCTCAAAGGGATTTGCCTGGTTAAATAAAGGTTAATGATGATAACTAGTAGTTGAGCTGATGAAGCTGTTTTCATTTCTTTAACCAGGTGAGCAGGAGAACATCGACAAGTTCTCCAAGCGTCTTGTTAAAGTCACCAAACAGCACAACGACGAGTGCAAGCAGCTGCTGACGCTGATGGGAGTGCCTTACATCGAGGTGCGATGGAGATTTGCTTAACTTTTTCTTTGTTTTTGGTGCTTACATCATGGGCTTCAACGGCCCAGAAAGGCTAAATAATGATGGATTAAAAACACACACACGTAGTCTCTTAAGCTGCAAAATATTTTTGAGTGAAGGTTTATAAAAACTTGAAAGAATTTTATTTATCTGTAGAAAAATGAGCACGGAAATCTTGAGTAAAGGCCACACGGTTTATCCCATTTTATATTTTAAAGAACGCAGCCTAATCTATTGGTCAAACTTCTTAAAATACAAGAATGTTTTTCTAATTTAAATAAATTTTAAAGCTTACTCTGGTTGATTTTTATCCATTTAATGGGTAAAAATGTATGTTTCTGCGTTTTATGTTGTTTTTCATTCAGAGCATCTTCAGTGTGTCAGGACGTCCTCGTCTTATTACCGTATTTTCCGCTGTACACGTCGCATCAGTCAAAAAAATGTCCAGTAAAGTGGATAAAAACATAAATAAGTCGCTTCGCCGTGTAAGTCGCATCTATTATGCGTCACCGCTGACCACACGGAAACATGGGCTGGTGTTGTGCCAAAAATCGATTGATTGCCAAAATGGCGACCGCGGGAACGGGAGGACTTTAACACGAATTTGACAAGTAAAAACAATTGTTTGTTTGCTCGACATTATAGTAAAGTTGTGTCTCAGTTGAACTTTTCCTTAATAAATGCACTTTAATGGTCAAATCAGCTGCATTTCGCCTGGGCGGTGCAGCGAAATGCAGCTGATTTGACGTTTGCTCCAGGAGTTCAAAGCGAGACGAAGGCGGTTCAGTATGGCAAGCCAAGTGTCTCATTAATAGCCACTTTTACCTATTAATGAGACCCTCGGCTTGCCATAATAGTCGAGGGCCCTCTCGCTCCTCTAACGGCTGTAAATGGTGATGTTTAATATTTTTTATGTCAGAATAAATGAAATCGTCACATCTTCATAAAAAATTGGGTTATAAATATGGAAAAAAAATATATATTAGTCACTTTGGTGTGTAAGTCACAGGACTTGGTGCGACTTATACGCCGGAAAATACCGTAGTCTTTCTGCCAAGACCTGAGGAAAGACCTTCAAAGGACGTTAAATTCTTTATTGATTCTGATACGTCGAGCTTGTTTAACTATACGATGTCCCCTTTACAACTAAATAAATCATAAACTGAGTAAATCGTCCGGCCGATTTATCGGTGCACCCCTAGTAAAAGCTGTTTGTTTCAGGCTCCGTGTGAAGCTGAGGCCAGCTGCGCCGCTCTGGTTAAAGAAGGGAAGGCGTTTGCCACTGCAACAGAGGACATGGACGGGCTGACCTTTGGGACAAATGTCCTGCTGAGACACCTCACTGCCAGCGAAGCAAAGTACACGCTGCTTCACCCTGGAGGGGTTTGATGCCCGTTTATGTTTAAGGACGTGAACGCTAAACTTTGATTTTTGTTCCAGGAAGCTTCCCGTTCAGGAGTTCCACTTCAGCCGCATCCTGCAGGACATCAGCCTGACCAACGAGCAGGTTCTTTTCTTTCTGCCCGCCTGAACCCAGTCAAACGGGTCGTTTTGTAAACCGGGCGCAGGACTGACCCGTCCTTCCTGTTTCCAGTTCGTAGACCTTTGCATTCTGCTGGGTTGCGACTACTGCGGCACCATCAAGGGGATCGGCCCCAAGCGAGCCATCGACCTGATCCGACAGCACGGCTGCATTGAGAACATCCTGGAAAACATCGACTCCAACGTGAGAGCGTTCGATTCACGCCCAGACTGAAGTTAAATCAGCTACTGGACCCGGCTCGGCCTTAACGGGGGGGGTGGGTTGTGTTTGCAGAAATACCCCGCTCCAGAGGACTGGCTCTACAAGGAAGCCAGGAGCTTGTTTTTAAAGCCAGAGGTGGTGGACTGCTCCTCCGTGGAGCTGAAGTGGACCGAGCCGGACGAGGAGGGGCTCGTCCAGTTCATGTGCAGCGAGAAACAGTTCAGGTGAGACAAACGTGCCGCACGCTGGCTTCTTTATTCATCACCTGCCGCTGAGACGAGCAGCAAAATATCTCACGAACCAGTCATCAGCTCTTAATCGTTAGGTGAACCTCTACAACTGATTCAAGATGGTCGCCTCTGCTCAAACACAAAGTGCTGTAGCTCAGTCGGTCGTACAGACATCGAGGTGGTAGTAGCTGAGAGTCATCCTCAACAGAAGCGCTGAGCACTGACGGATCACGAGATATCACGATGTGGCGGTGATTAGTCGGTCAGTTACTGACCCGGGTTAAAGATCTGAATCTTCTGGCAGACTTGCTGAATCTCTGGAACCGCTGCGGACTCACGAGTCGGGTCCGATTCAGGTCCACAGAGCGGGACCGACTCGCGTGAGCGCCTCGGATTAATGCAGGTCCATGAAGTGAACTGGATTTACGACCTCTGCCCGTGATGTGCATCTCTTCAAAGACTGCTCGGCTTTTTAATAGTCTGAATGTTGATGGAGCATTCACACTGTTGTGATCCATTTTTCTTCCATATGTATATATATTTTTTTTTTGGCGCGATTCTCGTCCCGCAGTTTTCAACCTATTTCAAACATGTTTTCAGCTGTTGTTCGGCTGTTTTTGCTCCCGTCAGATTCTTTCAGCTAACTACAGTATTTTTGTGCTTCTTCTAACATCTTTCTGCTCCTTTCACCTTGTTTCTGCAAGTTTCAGCATTTTATGCTATTTCAGCTACTATTTAGCTGTTTTTTATGCAAATTTTAGCTTTTTCATCTAATTTCACTTTTTTTTTTCATTAATTTCAGCTTCTTTCTGCTTTTTTAGCTGCTTTTCAGCCGTTTTCTTTTTGTGCTCATTTCTGCTTCTTTCAGACTAATAAGCCAAAATTGTGCTCTCGCTACTTCCTTCTGCTGATTTAAGCTTGTTCTACCGTTTCAGCTAACTTTTTAGCGTTTCTTAGCTAATTTCAGCTGTTTTCAGATACAATCAAGTTGTTTTTGTGGTAATTAATGTGACTCAACATAAGTTAACTTCTTTCTGCTAATTTCAGCTTATTTCTGTTAGTTTAAGCTTTTTATGCTTTTTCAGCTACTATTTATCTGTTTTGTGATAAATTTAGCTTATTCAACTAATTCCACATTTTATAGCTCATTTCACCTCCTTCCACTTCCTTCTAGTAGTTTAAGTCCCTTTCTGCCATTTCAGCTACTTTTCAGCAATTTTTTTTTTAGCAGATTTCAACTTTTTAGCTAATTTCCTAGTTTTTGTGCTCATTTCTGCTTTCAGAAAATATGTGTTCTTTTCCTTCTTCTGCTAACTTAGGCTTGTTCTTCCATTTCAGCTACATTTCAGCATGTTTTTAGCTAATTTCAGCTGTTTTTCAGCAAGTTCTTCAGCAATAAGCATCCACACTGCATTTTTACAGGAAATGCAGTGTCTCTAGTTAAATATTGACATTCATTTGCCAGGTTTACTTCCTGATGCGGTTCCTCGCCGTCTTAAAATATTAAATCAAACATTTTTCACGTTTCATCTCTACAAAACAGAAACGCCGAATTACTCCCGAAAGAACAGGGTTCCTTCGCAGTTTTGATTTGGGTAATTTTCAGATCTGCGAAAGTGTAGAATAAAAGAAAACCATTAATGTTTCCAGACTCTTATGTCCACGTACATTTTCCAAAAATCAAAATCAAAATGTTTAATTGTCCAGGAAAGGATTGCTTTGCTTGCAGAACAGTAGTCCCTCGTTTATTGCGGGCGATCCGTACCCCGAAGACCAGCGATAAGTGAAAACCACTAAGTAGGAATAATAGTACAAGTGGTAAGTAGTAGTTTATTCATATATATATATATATATATATATATATATATATATATATATATATA